TACCATTATCGTAAGTCATACTTTGGTAATGTCTACCTCTGTGGGCAGGCATTAATGTCAGAGCTAAATGTTAGGGCTGGAAGGGACGGATGAGGACACTGAGGTCCAGAGAAGTAACTTGTCAGAAGTCACGAGGCCGGAACAGTCCCCAGGACTTCCTGCTCCCAGCCTGAGGTTCTCCCTTAGAGAAAGCCCAGCAGCCCCTTCAGTCCTGATGGTCACCACCGGAAGTCCAGATTACTCCAAACATCTCTATCCCATTTAATTCTATAACGAATTCCAAGAAAAATGTACAGGATGTTTCTGTCCGTCTGATACCAGTTGACCATCTGCTCAAACAGTGTCAAGGGCCTGGGTGCTATGCGACCTGGGCAAACTGTTTACCTTCCTGTAGCCCTTGGGGACCTAGAATCTCAAAGCTGCATGGCAATGGTGGGTGGTTTTGCCCCCACTGTCACCTCTGCCTGGCTCAGATGACTTCCCTTTCAATGTGTACTTGGCCGTCACTTCCCCAGACCCTCTATCTTCTCATACTCTCCAAATGCATTGCATCACTTACCTGAATCCTGGGTTCACTCTGCCCTAACTTCAATTCTCAGGACTGGGCTATTACAACAGCCCATAAATAAGAGTCTAGAGAGGGCTGCTCCAAGGTACTCCCTTTCCTCCCCACTAACCCCTTTCTCTCCCCACCCAGCTCCTGCAGAAAGCCCGTCTTTGGCTCAGGGAGCGCCATGACTGAAGTTGGTTGGTGGAAGCTGACCTTCCTCCGGAAAAAGAAATCCACCCCCAAGGTGCTGTATGAGATCCCTGACACCTATGCCCAAACAGAGGGCAGCTCAGAGTCCCCGCGGCCTGAGGGCGGGGTCCCCGACAGTGACTTTAACACCCGCCTGGAGAAGATTGTGGACAAGAGCACAAAGGGCAAGCACGTCAAGGTCTCCAATTCCGGCCGCTTCAAGGAAAAGAAAAAAGTCCGAGCCACGCTGGCAGAGAACCCCAACCTCTTTGATGACAGGGAGGACAAAGGACAGTGAAGGGGGCCTAGAAGGATGCTAGCACTTCCCCACTCCCTGCCATCAGCCAGATCTGAGACAGGAGCTTGCCACACTGGCCCCCTCGACCACAGCCGAAGCCATGGGGACAGCTGATACCTGCTGGCAGGAAATGTCCATTTTAGATTTGTATTTATGTGTCTCAGCTTTCTGGAAGGCCTGGGAGATCCCAGGGTTCTCCCACCCTCCCCATCACATACAAAGGCACTCTTAGTTCAAGGATAAAAAGTCTCACCCAGGAAGAACAGCCCTCCATGCAGCAGTGGCAGGGCCAGCAGGGAGGTGGACATGGCAAGAAATAGAGAGAAGAAGACCTACTTCACCTCCTCCCAGGGCACAGGGTCAAGGGTGAGTCTGAATTGCTGCTCCCTCTACTTTTTCTACCTGTGACTGTTTCTTGGACTAATTCTGAGAGCATTTTCCAGAAGCCATGTGACAGGGGACTGGTTTCCCGGAGTGGGAGGGGGACTGAACTTGATTTCACCTCTTAACACAACTGGGAAACTTCCTAGAACTTTTTCTCCAGGGGGTTGAGGAACCTGTTATTCCCTGGGGATGCCGCAGAAGGCTAGGTTAGGGACCCCACGGGTCCAAATTAGGGGAGGGGGTGAGGAAGCTCTAGTAGGAGCTAAAGCAGCCAGTTCTCTTTTCTCCTTCCCTACTCATATTTAAGATGGATCAGCCCCGGAGATGAGTCCTGGAGCCTTGAATTTTGTTTAAAAAAATAATTGTAGGTTTCTTTCTTTGTAATAAACGATGCTGTAAAAGCAGAGAACCTATTTATACTCTCGTCTTACATTTATTGAGATGACTGTTTTTCATGCCTTTATCTCCCTTCATGTAACTAAAGTGGAACTCAGTGCTCAAACCCTTTCTTTCAAGCTTCAGGAAGGGTCTCCAGGTATCATAGTAGTAACTGGGACACTAATTTTACCACCAAGCCACCCTTAGCATCTGGGGATGGAGAGAGTGAAGGAAGGAGCTAGTGATACCTCAGTGGTCAGTTGTTCTGACCAACAGAGAGGCCACCAGAGGCTCTAAGAGTATGGATCAGGATTCACATCCTGGTTCCACCTCGAAATAGCTGGATGATATGGGCAACATTAAAAAAAAAATCCTCCTCTGAACCTCAGTTTTGTCTTCTCTAAAAGGGGCTGTAATGATACCTGTTTCACAGGGAGTGCTCAATATTAAGTGGCCCGTAAGTAGTCCTGTAGCAGGTGCTCAGCGAACATTGGTTTCCTTCCCTCTCTCCTTTATTAAGGAACTCCACATAGCCTAGACTTCTGTTTAAGGAAGAGGAGAGAGTGTGCTCCCTATGCCCTTAGGTCCAGATCTTTCTCAAGCCCCAGGAGCTGGGAACTGGAAAAAGTTGGCTAAATCTCTGGAGCTTATGTTGGGAACAAAGAGAGACTAAGGTGGTGACTGAACAATGTGGTCTGACAGCTTCCAGGTCAGCTCTTGGAGGCTGCTGGGCCACCCCACCCCACCCTAGGGAGCGCTGCTTGGGAAATTTATTACCAGAACAAACAGACTGTACAAGGGGGCCTTTGTTAGGTGGCCTCGCCCAGGCCAGGGGAGCTCTGAGGATGAGTGAGGGAGACAGGAGCTGGAGAGAGGGAAGAAAGCTTCTTTTTCCCTTATCCGCACCCCCCGCCTCCATCACATGGAACTTTCTAGGGTTCCACCAATTATTACTCAGTCCACAAAGCCTCCCATGGAGTAGCAGAGTTTTCCCATACTCCAGCCCTACCCATTGTTAATAGCTGACATTTATAGAGGATTTGCAACGGGCCAGGCCCTGTAGCAAGTACTCCCTGAGGTTCCTCACTTAATCCTCTCATTCCCCAAGACAGGGGCTATCATTATCCCCATTTTCCAGGTGAGTTCCCTGAGGCTTAGAGTTAAGTCACTCTCCCGAGGTGGCAGAGTTGGGATTGAAGCCAGAGCTGGCCTGCCTACGTGACCACTACACCACACAGCTCCTTTCACTCTTGATTTTCATCTGCTTGGGGGATGGGAAACTGAGGTTCAGGACAAAGAAAGGAACAGTTGCCTTCTGCTGAAGGGGAGGTGGGGTGAGAAGGGGCAAGGTCTGGATCGTGGGATCCTGGGAGGTGAGCACCATTTGAGGGGGCTGCAGACTCCGGGACCAACGGGAGATAGCCTACCAGCTTTGTGGCTGAGTGTACCCTGAGACTCCAGACTGTAGAGACCTCCCACTTCAGCCCATTTTGAGCTTCCTTTTGGCTAAGGTGAAGAATGACGCTGAGCCCTGGGCCAGGGACACTACCCGTAGCCTAATGCTATCCTAATGCATGACCTAATACTGGCACCGCATTGCCACCATTATTCCTCTTAGGTGAGAGGGTCTGCGGGCCTCTCTGCCCCATGCATGCGATCCTAATCCACAGACCCAAAGTAATGTCTACAGGAATCATCCAGGAAAACTCCATGGATACCCCTAAGCTGGGTATTGGTGTATGGGGGTGAGGAAGAGATGGGGTGGGTACCAAAGGCCAAGGGAGATCTGGCTGCCCAGGGAGTCAGAGCCCAGTCAGCTGCACGTTTTTCATGTGGCCAGAGGAGGAGGAACCGAGAGTGCAAATATGTGCAGGAGCTGGGAGAGGCTACGGGTTATCGACCACAGTTTCACTGGGACACGACCCAATGGGGGGAAGGGGGAGGCATGAATGGCTTAGAACTGGCCTGTGCCTCCCGGAAGGAGCCAGCCCTGGGTGACGGGCTCCCCCTGCTGGATGCCAACCTCCCAAGAGAGGAGAAGCGCGGTGGGAGGAGAGTTGCTTAAAATCCCCAACTCCCCTTCTTGGTCCCGCAGAAGTGGGTGCGGGAGTGGAGCAGGGAGAGACCAAGCCAGATTTAACATAAACATCACGCACATTTGATGAGTTTTTATTACAGACTTGGCAGAATGATTGTCGGACAAAGAATAGGAAGGGAACAGCTGAGACCAAGCTCAAAGCTGGAGGATACACAGCTCCCTGTAACACAAACAGGACAAAGGAGGGAAAGGCTTCTTTCCTGTAGGTGGCCTCAGGGTTAGCTTCATGCCTTCCTGCACTCAGGCATAAGCGGGGGATCAACACCAAGAGGGCGGGCCTTGGGGAAGCCACAAAGTCAATAACAGACGCTGAAGCACCCGACCAACATGCAGTTTAGAGTGGCAAGTTCAATGTCAACATGCACAAATAATAGTCAGTTCTCTGATCCCGGCTTAGCCACAGCAAACATTTACTTGGTCTGGCTCCTCTCCACAGTCTGCAGGCCACCCATCCAGGCTGTCTCTGGTCATCAGACTTGTGTTGAAGAAAAGCAAATACAGTTCAACATGAGCCTCAGCTAAGATTTACTGAAGGATCCAATCTTAAGGGTGGGAGGCCTTTGGTTTAGAGGTTGAGGCCAGTGCATCCAGTCACCTGGGGAGTCCTGTTGAAAGCAGGGTAAGATTCAGTGGGTCTGGGGTGGGCTCCCAGGTGATTCTGACACCTCCAGCCTGAGGACCACACTGGGAGTAGCAAGGATCTAGACTAGAAGTTCTCAACCTTGGCTGCACAGAGTTCCCTGGGGAGTTTTAAAATTTCCCAAATCCCAGGCTACACTCAGACTGATCAAATCATCTCTAACAGTGAGATCCAGGCATTAGGATTTTTAAAGATCCCCAGGTAATTCCAGCAAGAATGAAAACGAGTGATGTTGGAGTCATCATCAGTAGCGGTAGGGAATAGGGGAAGGGGATGTGTGAGCAGTCACAGTCATAATCTTAATAATTTAATTTTATACCTGGAAAGTAAAATGAATACTGCTTATAAACAAATATGGAAAGTAAAGTCTGATTAAAATCTTTCTGGCCCGTAGGTACCAGCACATGAATCCCTTCTACAAAACTCCTGACTGGGATTGAATACTTCTAGTAAGAGAACACTCACTACCTAACAGGTAGCCCACTCTATCACAGGCAGCCTTGATTGCTTGAAATCTCTCCCCATATTGAGGTTAAATCTATTTCTGTGTAATCTCCACTCATGTGTCCTTTGGAGCTACACAGAATAAATTTAATCTCTTTTTTCACATTACTGTGCTTCAGATAATGAAAAGTAGCTATCAGCAGGGTAAGTGCTACAAAAATATCTATTAATAAATGAATTAGTTAAGGTTCTTTTATTTGTAAGCAACAGAATTTGATTCTGCTATTTTAGAGACAGTAGGTGTTTGAGGCAGGAGGAGGCATTGCACAGCCTTGTTGTAGGAAGGAGGGGTCCAGGGCCGCTCAGGGAGTTGCAAGAGCAGTAGCCACAGGCTGTTGCTTCTTGGCTGCCATTAATGAATGACTTAGCTACAATGACTCCCTTGCTCTGGGGCTCTTCATTTCAAATCATTGACAAGAAAAACTGATTGGCTATATTGGCTCAGGTACTTGTGCTGGGACCAATCAGCTTTGGCCAGTATGACTCAGTAGCCTGGTCAGACAGGACTGCTAGGGACCCACACTGTCACTAGAAAAGGGAATCACGCCAGCTGCTACCCCTAGAGGGAGCTATTCCAATACATTATTGTCAAAATCAAGAACATAATTATGGGATTATTTTCCATTTGTGATTCCCCATGCCACCAGTACACGTCACTAGACAGCTAATTGAGAGCCAACTGAGTAGAGAGAACTTGGAGGATGAACCCTGAAGAGCCCTGAATATAAGGGGTGGGGAGGAATATGGGTTGAGTTTAGAAGGGCCCGGCTCCCGATTCCACACCCTCTCCCAGCACCCAGCCCCAACTCCAGCAGGCACTGGCGGATTGGGAGTCAGGGTGCAAGTCTCTCAAAAAGCCAATCTCCCTCCCCGCGGTGGGTCATGGGCCCCAAAGGAGAGTCTCCAGTCGGGAGGCCCCGCCGAAAGACGATCCGGTCGTGCAGGCGGTTGGTTTGGCCTTGCCAGAACTCTATCACCTGTGGGTACAGGATGTAGCCACCCCTACAAAAAGAAGCAGAGGTTTCAGTGCTCTGTGCATTTTTCCAGCTGTCACCCCCACCCCCACTGTCACCCCAAGGACCCCCGAAGAAATTTGCTGGGATCTATCTAATGAGGGTTCACAGGGAGGAGTAGATCATAATTCCATAGACAGGGTGACTTCAAGTAAACACCAGGGTCCTGATGTCCCTTTCTAGAGGATTACCAGGTATCACTCACCAGTATTTCGGCTTCGGCACCTCTTGTTCCTGGTAGAGCTTCTCCAGTTCCTCATTTTTCTTTCTCAGATACTGTCCAGGGGAAGGAGATGGAGGAAGGGCCAGACCTAGTCAATAATTCATTTAATAACCACTTGCTGAGCATGTGCTCTGTGCCAGGTGCTGGGGACACAGGTGAGAAAGGCAGGCTGACCTCTGTCCTCCAAGAGCACAGTCCAACTAGAGGGTCAGACAGACACAAGAAGCCTGTATCCCTGCTCTCTATCCCATTCTCCCAGGGAGACCATTCTTGTAACTTTGTTGGAGTGAGAGGGCCCTGGCATCCCCTGGAGACAGCCTCCGGGGATAAGCCCAGGCCCTCATCACCCGGACGACTCAAAGGGAGCCCCACTCACCTCCCGGCTGGGGATCACAGAACTCTGGTGACTGACCACAGCCCCAATCTGGCTGCTCTTGGGGCGGGAGTGGAAGTAGCACGTGGCCTCCTCCTCCGGCAGCTTCTTCACAGGGCCCTCCACACGGACCTGCTCAGAGATGGCCCTGGCTACATGGCATTCAATGTCACTGACCCTCCGTACCAGCACAGGCCCCATTACTCTCCATCTTCTCCTTATCCACTGCCCTACAACTGTCGGCTGCTACTACACCAGCTAACTGAGAGCTATTTGAGAGGGGGGATGTTTGCCCAACCCTGGGACCTCCACTGGGCTCATCTATAAACTCAGGCCCCTCCCAATCCAGGCCACTCCAAGCTGTTCTGGGAATGCTCACTCACCTGACGGTTTAGGGGCTCCCAGTAGAAGACAAGGGAAGCAAAGGGATTAGAGTCCTGAAAATGAAAGAGAATCCAAAGACAGTCATCAGGACAGCAGGGAGGATGCCTGGGTAAGGCAGGAAGTCTGCGGCGTGCAGGCCCACAGGAAATGCATTCAGTATAACATCTCATTTAAATCCTCAAAGGTAGGCAGGCCTCCTTTTACAGGTGTGAAGACAGGCACTGAGAGGTTTAGTAACATGCCCAAGTTCACACAGCAAGTGGCAGAGCTGTGTTGGAAACCTAAGCCATTTGGACTCTGAAGTGAACGAGGCTTGCCATTTCTCAAACCCATGGATTTGCAAGTCCCCAGAAATGCATGTTTGGCTAGCGTGGACTCAGGGTTACTCATCTGGAGATATGAAATGAATGCATATGAAGTGCCAACTCTGGGCTTGACACTGGGAGAGGTCCCAGGGGTATAACAGAGATAAAACAGATGCAGCCTCTGCCCTCACAAAGCTTACCATTTAGCAGAGGACACAAACATTAATTATATAATCACATAAATAAATGCAGTTAGAAATTTAAAAAATGGCAGACAGGAAAGTTGCAAGTTATAATGGCAGCAAAGAGCACGAGTGGCTGATTCAGTGTAGGAGTTGAGGAAGGCCTTCCTGAGGAGAACCTGGGGCTTTTTTTACACTGGGGCTGAGACCAAAGGGACAGGAGTTACTCAGGTAAACAAATGACAGATGGGGGTAGCTGGAGAGAGCAGTCATTCACAGCAAAGAGAATGGCAAGTGCAAAGGACCACAGGCAGGGCAGAGCCTGAGCACGGATGGAAAATGGGTGGGGTGGGGGGGTGGTATGCAAAGGTGACTGAAGAAGCAAGGGTTGGACTCTGCAGGCCTGGGAAAAATTTACTGTGAACCCTCACCAGCTCTTTTCCCTTTCGACTGTCAAAGTTAGTGAAGAAGCGGAAGCCATCCTTGCCAAAGCCCTTCAGCAGCACCATGCGGGCAGAGGGCTTCCCATCTCTGCAACAAAGATCAGAGTGCCGTGGTCAGAGCCCGTTTCAATGTCTTCGCTGCTGTCCCTCCCCACAGGATGAGCACTGCTACAGCTGTGTCCCCTTATTCTGCACTGGCACTCAAGCCACCCATTCCCACTTGCCCCTGGGGATTTGTCCCAGAGGTACAACATAACTCTGATGCCTGGGGCCCTGTTCGGGACTGAAAATTCTATGTTGAAGCTCTAACCTCCGATGTATTTGGAGACAAGAGCCTTTAGGGAAGTAAGTGAGGTTAAATAAGGCCATAAGGATGAGACTCTAATCCAAAAGGACTGGTGTCCTTATAAGAAGAGGAAAAGACATCAATGAGCTCTCGCTCACTCTCTCCCTGCACAAACAAAAGAAAGCCTACGTGAGGACCCAGCAAAAAGGCAGCCATCTGCAAGCCATGAAGAGAAGCCTCATAATCAACTCTGCCAGCACCCTGATCTTGGACTTCTAGCTTCAGAACTGTGATAAAATTTGGTTGTTTAAGCCACACAGTCAGCGGTATTTTGTTATGGCAGCCCTATCAAAGTAACAAGGCTCTAAGGACAGCAACCAATAATCATGCAAACAGCCGGTGCTTAGGGATCACAGAACATGTAGTTATATCAGAGCCTCTGCTCAGGGCTCTTGGGGATGGATACCTAGGGCACAGCACAAGAGCCTGCCTTCAAGACCTTACATTTTCGTGAGGGTGGACAAGAAGAGTCAGATAAGAGGCTAATACAAGAGATGTCTCAAGGATATATGATTGATTATCAAATGAATGATGCAGACAAGCACCATGCTAGGTTTCAAGAGAGGGAGAGAGCTTAGTGGAAAGGTCCCAGGAGATATAGCTCTTCAGGAGCAGCTGGAAACGGGAGATGGGGAAGTAAGAAAGGCAAGGGTGTGTGTGGGGGTGGGGTGCATCAAGGACAGAGATGAATGAGGCACTGAATTTCATCACTGAAATGGAACTGAATGAAGTCTGATCTTTGGTTTATAAGTAAGGACACTGAGGCCTAGAGAAGACAAGTAACTTGCCTGAGGCCATACAGCATGTTAATAACAGAGCTAGAACCATAAAGTTGTCATTCATCAAGCTGAGAGCTTCTTAAGTTTCCTTCTTCATCTGTACCCACCCACAGAAGGGCCCACAGCTATGCCCACCTGGTGGAGGTAGCCAGACACATGGCGTTGGCTTCTCCTATGTCAGGACACTGAACAGCCTCTTCGAACCAGGTAGCAAATTGCTTCATGGGATCCAGGGAGGTCAGCTGAGCCTCCTCAAACGCCTGGGAAAGTAGAGTTTTATTTTATTTTATAAACACATAGAGTGCTGACAGTGTACTGTTCTAGGCATTTTTCAAATACTCATTTAGTCCTCATAACAACAACCTTGTAACAAAAAACAGTACTCAAGAAATACGTTCTGTTAGCCCCATATTGAGATGTCTCAAGGATATATGATTGATTATCAAATGAATGATGCAGACAAGCACCATGCTAGGTTTCAAGAGAGGGAGAGAGCTTAGTGGAAAGGTCCCAGGAGATATAGCTCTTCAGGAGCAGCTGGAAACGGGAGATGGGGAAGTAAGAAAGGCAAGGGTGTGTGTGGGGGTGGGGTGCATCAAGGACAGAGATGAATGAGGCACTGAATTTCATCACTGAAATGGAACTGAATGAAGTCTGATCTTTGGTTTATAAGTAAGGACACTGAGGCCTAGAGAAGACAAGTAACTTGCCTGAGGCCATACAGCATGTTAATAACAGAGCTAGAACCATAAAGTTGTCATTCATCAAGCTGAGAGCTTCTTAAGTTTCCTTCTTCATCTGTACCCACCCACAGAAGGGCCCACAGCTATGCCCACCTGGTGGAGGTAGCCAGACACATGGCGTTGGCTTCTCCTATGTCAGGACACTGAACAGCCTCTTCGAACCAGGTAGCAAATTGCTTCATGGGATCCAGGGAGGTCAGCTGAGCCTCCTCAAACGCCTGGGAAAGTAGAGTTTTATTTTATTTTATAAACACATAGAGTGCTGACGGTGTACTGCTCTAGGCATTTTTCAAATACTCATTTAGTCCTCATAACAACCTTGTAACAAAAAACAGTACTCAAGAAATACGTTCTGTTAGCCCCATATTACAAGTGAGGACAGGCATAAAATGGTGACATAACTTGATGGGTCCTAGAGCTAATGATGGATGAATCAGGGTTTCATGTCATGGATGTCAAACTTACCAATTGGGGAGCCTTAAAAAAAGATATTCTGGGCTCTAACCTTGTGAATTCTCATTCAGTAGGTCTAAGGTTTAATGAAAAACCATGTTTAACAATAATTTCCGGAAATGCTGACATGTAGCCAGAGGCTCTGGGCCCCAATTCCAAAACAGTTCTCTTGATTCCTCTCCTGAGGAGGGAAAAGAAAAAGAACTTCTCCAAGTAGTAAGTAAGAGGAGGGACTGAAGGTAGGAAGGAACTAGGAGCATTTTTCCGCTTCACCGTGAGTTAGTCCCCTTCTCCCATGTTTTACTTATTTATCAAACATTTATACGCTGATTATCATTGTTCTAAGCCTTTTAAAAATATTTGAGTCCAACACAACCCTGCGAGGTAGATACTATCACTTCACAGGTAAGAAACTGAGTCTCAGAGAGGTTAAGTAAACTGCCTAAGGTGATGCACCCCGTGACCGGCAGGATTCCAGCTCAGGCAGGCTCCAGAGTCCATGCCCTTACCCACTACCACAGGCTTCATCTCGGTTTCCCCAGAACCTCTCCCCAGCTAGCTGTCTTTGAACACTCTTTTTCTCTCGCGGAGATGACTCCCAAGCTCCCTCGCCAACTCTCCCTCCCCTCCGCAGATGACTCGGGGCCGCCTGTTTCCCTGCCGCTGAGGGTGACCCTGCCGGGCGACGGCACCTCTCGGTCCCCGCGGTAACTCTTGCGCATCGGTCCCAGGTCCATGACTGCACCGCGGCCGCACAGGTAACGAAGGTAGAGGGGCCACTCGGCCGGTCGCCCAAACGTCACGGTGACGCCCCGCAGACCGCACGTCATCGGACCGCCAGCCACGTGACCCGGCGTCGGGCGACACCGGGTTCCTTTGGATTCGGAACCAGTTTCTCAACCCGGGATTCTACCCGGGGGAAGGAATAATTTGTAAGTCGCCAAGCTCAGCTACCCTAAGTTCTTGGAGCCAATGGGAGCCCAGGATCGGAGGAGGGAGACAGACGCTGAGAGACCATTGGTCGGAGTTTTCCGGAGGGAGGCCAATTAGAGAGAGAACAGAGGAACACAGCGGCCAATGAGCGGCGCCTCCGGGGGCGGGAGCAGGGAGACAAGGAAATGCTGTCACCGCCGTTAACACGCACGTGGAGGTTTGTTAAAGATATAGGGACAGCTGCGTCCCAGGCCAGGATGGGAGAACGAGCCGCTGGGGACGTGAGGGGAGGGGTCAGTATTAAGAGGCTGGTCTCTAGTAGGTGCCTGAAGGTGAGCCTAGTGCAGGTGATATCCCCTGGGGGAAGGCTAGTGGACAAATGGAAAATGGAATTGGGGGCCAGGCCCTGAAGCAAGGTGATGGGGAGACAGAGAAAGGGGCCATCTAGTTAGGGGAAGGAATTGGGGCTTGAGAGTGGGAGAGGCTGAAGTGACTTGTGATCACTCCAGATAGGTGCTGTGTAGTGTGTCGGGGAGCGGGGGGCGGTGCTCTTGGGGAGCTACAGTGGAGTTAGGAAGAGACTGTAGGGTGAGAAGGAAAATAGCTGAATGGGAAAGTGGAAGAGGGAAATTTGGGATCAAGCCATCCTAGGCCAGAGCTATCTTCCTCTTCTAGCTCTGAACCCCCTTTTTCCAGCCTTATTTCTTTAACCCGGGGTCAGAGCATGCTGCCCATGGCTTCCCCTTTCATGATGCAGCAGAGTTCACACTAGCCAGTGTTCACATAGATGGAAAGGTTGCCACTGCCTTACCTCTCTTGGGCTTCCCCTATCTTTGCTGAGTTTCCCCTTTTTCACATTTTGTCCTTCCCAGGTAGTTGAAGTCTGGTTCCTAGGTTGATGCCAGCTATAGCTGAGGGCACAGGAGAGCAGGTGGCTGTGCAAAGCCACTTCCGGGTTGTGGACACAGGGCTGAGAAATTGGAAACCTGCCAGTGCCCTTTCAGCTTTGACCTGGCTGGGGCAACCTTGGGTCAAGGCCTCTCTGCAGTCCTGGTTTCCACCATCATCAGGAAGGGGAGCTGCAAGAGCCATCTAGGCAGGCACCCCAGGACTGTGCCAGGTAAGGGAACTTCCTGCCTTGCCCAGGTATCTGCATTACACCTAAGCTTCATAAAGCCCTACATTAGATACCTATCATCCTTTATCATGTGCATGTAGCTTGAGTCAAATAGAATCTGGAAGACAAATTTGCTGCAAAGAAACAATACATGTCTCTAAAGGCTTAATGATGTTGATCTATGGATTCTTCACTGGTTGGAATTTTTTGCTGCATCATTTTTCTCCATCAATATGATTGAGAGAAGGTTGACTGGACTTTCTTGTTGAAGTTATCATTACACATATGAACTTTGCTGTCTTTCCTTTCTCCCAACCACCTGCAGTCGAACCTATGTAAGTAATAATTAGTGCCCTTCAACTCAGACGGTTTTGTTAATGAGTCCACACTATTAGACTCCTGGGCTAGGCTACCCCGGATCTGGGATTCTAGGGCACCAAGACTAGGGTCATTTGAGTGGTTTGCTTCAAAGACAAGAGCTCAGTACAGTTGACCCTTGAACAATGTGGGGGTTAGGGCCACTGACCTCCCCCTGTATTGTACAATTGAAAATCCATGTATAACTTTTGACTCCTCAAAAACTTAACTACCAATAGCTTACTATTGACTGGAACCTTACTGATAACATAAAGTCGATTAACACCTATTTTCTATGTTTTATGTATTGTATACTGTATTCTTACAATAAAATAAGCTAGAAAAAAGAAAATGTTATTACAATCATAAGAGAAAATACGTTAACAGTATTTATTGAAAATAAAAAATCCATGCATAAGTGGACCCATGCAGTTCAAAGCCATGTTGTTCAACTGTTGAATATTCATTCAGTAGACATTTGTTAAAGATTTCTTTTGGACCAGGTACTGAGCTAGATCTGAGCACACTAAGGTGAAGATGACACAATTCCTGCCTGCAGGGATTTGTAGTCTATAGGGGGAAGCAGTTCTCTAAGCTGAAAAGGTACAGATACTTCTGTGAGGAAAGTAAGAGCAAAAAAGAGGAAGTGGTCTCCAGGGGCCCAACAGTCAGGAAAGGCTTCGTAAAGGGAGCAGACATTGGATTTGTCTTAATGCGTAGTTGTTGGCCAGATGGACAGTGGAACGGGCTTGCCAGGAAGAGGAAACAACATGAGTAAAAGCTGGGTGCATTGGGGAAACTTGGAGCAGTGTAATCCTGCTGGAGTGAGTGGTGAGAACACTGGCCAGGCTTGTAAGCAGGGGCTGGGGATGCCTACTGAAGATCGGGCATGTGGCATGGGCCAGGCTTTTAGACAATGATTCTTTTTTATCCTGTGCTGTTGTCAAACCAGAGTGTCTAATTCCTGTTTTTTAAAGACCAGGTAGGGAGAAAAAGTACTAGATTCCAACAGCTTCTCCCAGCCTTGATGATCAGTGAGGAAGCTTGCAACTGGTTGCCTTTTTATATATTCCCCTTTGTCTTGCAAATAATAAATAGGCTGTGTTGTGCTTTTCTGCCTACTGGGATTTGGTGTCTGTATCATAAAGCAGCCCCGCTGTTCAGAAAGGATGGGGGGCGTACACGCCCACTGGCTGTGCCTCTACTGTTGCAACCCCAGCAAGGGTTTTGCCTGCGTGAGAGAAATAAATTTTTTATTGTTACTGCTTTTTATTAAATACCTTGCCGCCCTCTCCCCAACTTTGTAAATTTATTAATCTTTTCTTGAGAGTCTTAAATGAATAGAAAATATATTGCAATATTTCATTGTACAGCAGTGTACTGGTTTCTCCATATGAAACAAAAAGTCTGCATTTGGGTTTGGGGACTATGCTTTGCCTGTTTTCTTCTGCTTTTGCATTTATGTTCTGAAATCATCTTTTAGTCTAATTGTTTGATTGAATTATATATTTCGATTATAGCTCAGAGATTGCGTTTTTGGACCTGGCTCTGGTGACCAAGTGGATGATAGGTGAGGGAGGGCAAGACACTGCAGTGTTGTCTAAACAGAAGCAAGAGCCTGGTCTCTGAGTATGGGGTGGAGGTGGGGGTGGGGTGGAGAGGAGAGAATCGACTCACCAGGATGACTTTAGGTGACATGGGTGGTGCTGTTCATTGAAGTGGAGCATGTTGGAGGAGGAGGTTTGGGGGAGAGATGAAGTCAATATCAGACCTGTTGAGTGTGAGGGTTTATGGGACATCCACATTTTGTTGGGTTGGATAATCAAGTCTGGAGCTTAGGGGAAAGGTCTGAGCTAATGAGACTGGTTTAGGTGTCATGAGCCACCAAGTTGGCACCGGAAGCCATGGGAGAGGATGAGACTGTCTGAGAAGGGAAGAGGAGCTGGCGGGTTAAGGATGACAGTAGGGGAGGGGAGAGGCCTAGGAAGATGGGAATGATGCTGGTGAAACAGTGCTAAACTTTCCAGGAGGCCGATGGCAGGCGGGTATGCTGGGAGCCCTAAGCTGGGGAATTTTTGGGCCCAGCCTTGGGGTGAATTTAGGATACACAGAAGGGTGGGTACTTGGTGCTCTGCCAGCAGATGCCTGAGCCCTGAGTATAGTCCTCAGAGACTTGCAGTGGGACACAGAGGAGGCTGACCCTTACCCAAGTGTCCTGCCTATGGTTACATGGTTACCCCTCACACAATCCTTGCATGTGCTAACAGGTCACTTCCCAGATACGTCTAGTAGTTTTCATACATGTTCCCTATTAGAAGCTCCTTCATGAGATGGACCACATCACTTACTTTCTCTGGCCCCTTCTCAAAATGCCAGCCAGGAAATACTAATATGTTATGTTTATGCATAAACTGTTTTGTTAAGCCTCTCTCTGTACTTGTGTGCTAGGCACGGTTGAGTGGGGCTTGGGGGAGTTTTTGCACCTGGTAGGAGCCAGGCTGAGTGTCTTTGTTGGCTGGAGGGATAAGCTTTCCCAGGCTGAATGAGGTCCTAGGGTACCATCTCAGTCCTGGCACTGGCTGCCTTGGTAATTAGAGTGTGGGCCACAGGCAGAGGGAGGAGGCCTGATGGCAGGCTCCCAGGCAGGCCCAAAGGATATGACCTGGCAGCTTCTTAGTTTCATTGAGAAATCTTGGTTGGTCCTTGCCTTTGGCCTGCCCTGTGGTCATTTCTCATTTCTCCTTGCCTGGGATCCCGATGAGCAGGTGTTAGACTCTCTTTTCCAGCCCTGATTCTCTGCCATTTCCCACCGCGGTTTGCTTTCTTTTCACCCACACCCCTGTTCTTTATTTCATCTCCCCAGGTATCTTCTATTCCCTGAGGACCCCTTCACTAGGAAACCCAGCTGCCATCTGTCCCTGAGATTACTGTAGTTCCTCTAGTGGCTTCATCCCAGCCCCCAAAGATGTCGGTCAGGTCACAAGAGGTCTCTGACCTGAGATAGTGTCTCCCCCTGACTTAGGTTCCCTGGACTCCACCTCAGGCACATACATCAGCCAGGAGCCCCTGATGGGTCCAGGGACCTGAGATGCTGCAGGTGGCTCCCATCATCATACTCAAGTGTGGAGGCCTCAAAGGGTGATTGTAAAACTGGACTGAGCAGTTTGAAGGAATCCGAGTTCTGTTTGCTGGTATGATTTTTTTTTTTTTTTAAGGGTACTTTGCCTGGAATTTGCCTTCAGGATGGAGGGAACCTTCCCCAGCCTCCCTTTTCTTTCCAGTTTATAATCCTAGGATCTGGGATCAAAGAACTGCTGTGTTGAGCATCACTGAGCAGACAGGAGGGGGCAGAGAGGGGTGGCTGTGGTGCAGATGATGCTGAAGAGGGAAGGGGGCAAAGGAAGGAACGTGGATGGCATGACCCCCATTCTCAAGCTGCTGGGGATGGCCTGCCCCCAGATTTTCAACCAGGCATTCTGGGAAGACCTCTGGCCTGGGGTGAGCTTGGGCTGCATCGAACTAACAGTCCCCACCCCGTGCAACCTGAAAATAAGTAAGGGATGGGTTACAGCAGATAAGGGCTAATTTGCCACCAGGTCTCTCCATCCTGTCCTCATGTCATCACCTGGACTAGGCAGAATACATTCTCTTGCTCCTTTTCTAACTCAGGCATCCCATTGGAGGCAGAGATGGCCAGTGCCTCCCATGTGAACCCAAGTGCCAGCATGCAGTTCTACTCACTAGGGGCTGGCACCCTCATTTCCAGAGGATGCGGAGGAGTCAGGTCAGTTTCTGCACTTGAATTGTAAAGCAGATGACTTGGAATCAGCTCTCATGAAAGCATTTTTCTTTGGGTCTGAGAGCAAAGCCAATGGGAAACACGTGGCAGAAAGAGGTCAATTTGTTAATATTCCTTCTCTCCACCAATCCCGATTCAGAACACAGAATGGCCGTTTTCCACTTGCACAATCCACGTGTGAGGAAGAGAGAAACACATCTCTGTCTTCTTCCTGCCAGTACAGCGATAAGATGTAGGGCTGATGGGCTCGTTAAGAGGTTTCTATACCAGGGTAGACTCAGCTGTTGGTCTGGTATCGCCCAAAGGACTTAAGGGTAGGATGGGTCTCCCTACCCGTTAAGAAGTGATCAGGGACAGAGAAACTATGATCCCTCTAAGATCCATCTCCCTTTTATTTCTCCAGCTGATGTGAGAAAGGACTGGCTATAAGGGAAAGCTGTTTGCTTGCAAATGCAGGTCACTGGTGACAAAAGAAAGAGTAAGGGAATCGATAGCTCAAAAGGAGCCTTGCCACTCCTGCACAGAACAGCAACCCTGGCTGTGTCCTTTGAGGACAAGTAAAAGGCATTGTCATTGAGAGCCCATTCTGTTCTCTGCTTGAGAAACAACCGACTCTCCCTTCTGCCCAGATGCTCTCAGGTCCCACCAGTGTACTGAGCTAGTTCTGATCTCAGTCTGCATAACATCACAACCCTGACCTTTCTAATAGCTATGCATCCCCCCCCCCCAAAAAAAATCCCCACCTAAATTTCAGATCTGCAGCACTTGCTCAAACCAAAATCAGCTCGCTGTCCTCCCTGGTGCTGGGGTGAGGGGATGAAAGAAAAGCCGACTCCGTGGCCAGGGT